GCTAAGCCCTCGACGGAAATGGGCGTGGTTTGGGCGTGGTCGGGGCTTAACTCGAAAGGGCGTGGTCGGGGCTTAACTCGAAGGGCTTAACTCGAGGGGCTTAACTCGAAGATTTGCTACCCCTTCACTGATATATGGCTAGATAATGGTTAATTGTTTCTCTAATGATGATCCTGTAACTTAATATCTTTGTTAAAAGGTTAGTTAGCCCGCAGCCTTTATTTAGCCCCTCCCTTCCAATAAGCCCCCACGCGGTCCAGAACCACTGGAAAAATTACCCCCTGGTGGTAAATAGAGGGAATACGGTATGTTCACTTGATGAGTATAAGGTTATAGTTATCATTTAAAATACTGGCTTGATTTGAAATGTCAAAGTTGCTACTAGAGAATGTTATGTATGTTATGTTTGGCTATTTATACAGAAAAATTCTAACACGTTTTACAATAATTTTCTTGCATATTTGCATAGTGAAGTAGCAATATAATGTTTTGTTTCGTCGAAACACCAGGATCGTGACAAATAAATATATAAGACAATTTTTAATTTTACAATGTCGTTGGCTGAAGAATATAGATGCAAAATATTGATATTAAAGGACACCAGGAAGGTTTCGAATGCTTCATTTCGGCTTTACATTCGTTAAAGTTGTTACACCGGGGTAAATATCCCTGAAAAATGTAAAATAACATGCTTGTACAAGCTTTCTTGTGGTTAACTCTAGAAAACAAGGTGTTTTGTTGCAATGGGAACAGTGGAACAAAGGGAACATTTCCAAGGAGCACACCCCCCCCCCCTCCCCCCTTCCTGGGAGACCCTCAATGCATTCCTTCACTAGCCTCTGAGACCGCTGATAATAATTAAAGCAGCCGTTTAGGCCAAATATTACAGTAATATTAGTGATGGAACTTATTTTTGTCATTAGATTAGTTTAGGGAAGTTCCAGTGTGTTCATGTTCGAAACTTGTGTTTATTGATTATAAATGTAAGAATTACAAAGGAAAACTGAAGTATATTGGCAATAAAATATTAAGACTGAACGCGACACGATGAAATATGGCAACAATATCTTCAAACATTGCTCCCTGCGTTGTTATTTGTAAGATTCTTTTCGTGACGTTTATTCATAAATGAATGAATAGAAAACTTAATTTATTTTAAATATATTCATTATCAGAATTCATATCCGTCATTTTTCTCAACACAAAACTCTTCTCATTAGTATTCACTGTCTTTATAAGCCAACGAGCCAATCATCTGCCAGTATTTCGTGTTGTCATGCCTCGCCCCAGCGTCCCCGTTCTGTATCACGTTCGCACTTCGATAAGCCGGTTCCCGATTTGACTAAAAATGCCAGTGTTATTTCGCAGATTTACCTTTAAAACTCCCTTAATTTCTTACAAACTCTACTCCTATTGCAGCGGAGTATTTTTTCCGATGCAAACGCATAACTTACGTTCTATTTTCGACACATAGTTGCAATGCCTTTGCGAAGAACGGGAATTTGTGCGGCCGTAGTTTGTTGTCATTCAATACTATGCGTGCTAGCCCCAAAACGGGGAGTACAGCGCTCGGGTGTGATTCTTGAGCTCTTGTAGGCCGAGCAGACAATGCAAGCGCGGTAACCGAGTGAGCAGGTAGCCTTCTAGACAGTTTCACAACAAAACTCGCCCAATTCTTCGAAGGAAAACGAATATGGGCGATTGCTCAAACGAAAACCAAAACTTAGGCGAAGAAATGAAGCGAAAACTATAAAGTAAGTGAAGTGTTTGTCGTTTATTTTGACCTAATTTAATATCTATATGCATGGCTTGACCGCTCGCTTCGCGACAAACCACGCAAGCGATAACCAGCTGTTGTAGGGGAAATTTTACAAGGATTTTTTTTACTTAGACAATCCTAAACTTTCTTCTTCGTATTCTGGGCATTATTTTATATTCAACAGTGTGTCGACAAGTATTTTTGTGATTAAATTTTAGTCGAGTCACCCGATGGTTCGTGGATTTCCACGTATTAGCATCTTTGAGACACGGCAATGGCGTCGTCAACGAACAACGAAAAAATCGAGAAAGAACGACCCACAACGATGTTTGAAGGCAAAAATATCCACTCGTCGCCGGTGGACGGCAAGTTGCTATGTAGTTTTAGCGAGAAGACGTGTATGCAACGGCGTTTGAATCATTATGCTTTCTGTATTCGACACGTCTTAGAGGATAAAAATTCCCCTTTCAAGCAGTGTAAATTCGTCGCCAAATACAATGGACAACGTTGTACGAATGCTATCCCTTTGAAAGAGGATCGAATGTGAGTATCGCTGTTAGGTTATAGCCGGTTTTTGGCCACACATTTGGTGACAAAAATTTATATATAAATGTATTTTGTATATTGAGTAAAATTATATCGTGTGCTTCCTTTTTTATAAAGGACATCTGTTATCCAAATGATAGCTATAAAAGTATTTGGCATTCGCTTCTTTGTCGTTTAGATATTGCAATAGTCATCTGCAAGTCTTAGGACTAGTCCCGAAAAAAAGTCGAAAGAAAAAAAACAGTGAACAGAGGGTAAACACGAACAAACATATCGCAAAATCTTCGACTACGGAAATTTTAGTACCAAATAATCGTGCCTCACAAAATGTTATTTCAAAGCGAAGCGAAAGGGCCATTGGATGTGTTCAAACTCTAAAAACTTCGCCCGAACAGCGAGTTTCTAGGAAAGCTAAATTATTGTCATCTAATCCGCTGATATCCAAGCTTGTTAGCACCTATTCTCAAGCTAACAGCCAGAAACGAAATTTGCTGCCTTTCTACGGTAAGGAATTATGGAATTCTTTTGAGCATTATCTACCAAGGATTAAAATTTATCCCCACAAATACTTGCAAAATATATTCAATGTCCCAGTGAGAAGGTCTCGGAATCTGGTACAGAGTACTAATTGATTTTGTCACCTTCATGGAAATATAATGCTGTTGTATGAAAATAATTCTGTAAATTTTGTACAGTTTATTTTACTTTGGTGAACAACTCCGAAGCCGGCCCGTCTTCCATGGGTAGTGTTCCGTCCATACCAAATTATTGCAACTAGCTCGGCCCTTGTTACAAATGCCACATGTGTGTATCTGACAGTGTGCTGTTTTTCCCCCAGGAGGAATTTGGAATTTAACCCCCTATTCAGATGTCTAATGTATGTTATGTACCCACTATTATCAGAAGTAGATTTTCCTACAGACGACAGGAATTTCCTCTGTACAGGAGAGTGGGTCTTTTGTAACAACCCAATGAGGCAGCATCACTTGGGGATAATATACCCCAAGCTCACATGTGGTTGGGGTATATTTGTATTTTTATATTAACTTACTATGACAGAATATATATTGTCAAAAAATGCTAAAATATTGTATTAAATTGAGAAATAAGGTTGCTTTTCAAACCACTTTCAAGAGATATGTATCTCAAGCGGATTGAAAATCAACCCAGAAAAGTCAATTACACATAGTAGTGGTACTATTTCTCAATTTAATACAATATGTTAGCATTTTGTGACATTATATACCATATTCTGTCCTAGTAAGCTATTATAAAAACACAAATATACCCCAACCACATGTGAGCTTGGGAAACCTGTGCATCACTGAATGACATCAACATCAGTGTGACTTTTTGCCCTTGAGAACTCACTCCAGATATTGTATAGGTCAATGGTCGATTGACCTGTGCCCAAGGCATAAAGATAATACTATTTGTTGCTTTTGCAAGAATGACATGAAACCAGTGAATGTGTTGTTTGTCAGTGACAACAGTTTAAATCTTTAACCCAAATATGTTGAGCGTCTGCGCTCGTCCGTTGCAAAGTAATTTAAGACCTAATGCATAATAACATCACAAGGCATGTGCACACTGGGAATTCTGGTCTTGGTAGACATGGCGGGAAAATAATATAGCATAGAAGCCGATAATCCTCAACTTTCAGATCAGGCAGATCAGTTATTGGCCGATCACATCAACATGTATCGGCCAGGGTTCGAATTAACGATGTGTAATTTGCACATCATCCTGGACCAAGCATCACTTTTCCAAACAATGTGCAAAAAAGTTAAAGTATGAATGAACAACCTTCCATATTTATAGATTTAAAGCTGTTAATCTGTTGTCTTCTAATTTATAAGCAAGTGTTTTTCCATGCACACTAGTGTTTGCAGACTGGAAGGTGTCAATTTTTAGCCACCATGACAGACAAACACTGAATGATTAATGTTATGTGTTCGGTTTCCATATCAAAGATTGCAAACAATGTTTAAAAAATATTCAAATAAATAAATTATTGCAGTTTGATTGAGTAGTAGTTTGAGATAGGAACTGTCAGATTCACTTTTAATGCGCCATTTGTCATTTACCTTGCGGGGATACTTGTCTGGAAAAAAATTGATTACTAATTAACTGAACTAAACTGAACTCATTTCCAACTGACAATTTTAAGAAATGCAAAACAAACCAAACTCCAAATAATTATTAAGTATAAACTTAAGTTGCATTGCACCCTAATGCATCCTCCTTTGTTACTGTCTGATGCCAGACAAACTTACTTGTCAAGGAGAGAGCATTGATGCCCAATGGGTTGATCAGACTATCTGCCCATGCTTTATGTTGCATTGCACCCTAATGTGCCCTACTTTGTTATGTTACTCTGTCTAATGCCAGACGATTTTACTTGTCATGGGGAGAGTGCTGCCGCTGAATGGGTTGACTCGAATCTTGAGCACACAAGATGCTATTTAGAGGACACGATTTAGAGGACACGATTTAGAGAACATTTTGTTTGGACAAAACAGCAGGGCCGTAGGAAGCTCTTTTTGATTGGGGTGGTGAAGGCGAGGGCCAAAGGCCCAAGGAAATTTTTAAATTTAGAGTCTCTGAAATGCCATTTCCTGGACTTTGGGGAAGATTTGACAGAATTCTGATGGTCAGAAAACAGCGTTTTAGTATGTCGAAATTTACAATTCAGTACTAATCAGTAGTACTAAATGGGCGTATTTAATTAACTAAGTATATATTGGATAAATTGCAGGAAAGTATGGGTAATATCTTCATCCTTTGCAGTTTGTCATGGATTAAATGATAAATGTCTGCATGATTTTGAAAAATGAATGATTATTAGCAAATCCCGGTTGCTACGGCCCTGAACAGTAATAGTTTCCTTCAGCAACAGAGCTAAACAAAGACTGGTTATAAACATACTAACAAAGCATGTATAGGATTACAGTGTAACAATAAGGAACACCAAATTTGAAGATTCAGAGTTGATTTCATATGTTGTGTTTTCTCAAAGATTTGTGTAGTTCTGATGAGGATGAATCCGATGACGATGATGATGATACACAAGCAAAAAAGAAGCAGCTCAAAACATGCACAGTAAAATCTGGTGTTGAATGGTATGTTAAATGTGTTATCTTGTTAACCCATTGATGGGCGATGTGTTAACTGTACTACTGTGTGCTACTGTACATAACACACCTTAAGGTGTGTTGTTTTCTGGACATAAAAGGTGTGTTGCTTTAGCACACCTTTTTTTAAGAGTACATGGGCACGTTTGGCCTTTTTGTGAGACAGGCTTGGAAGCAGTGGTGTAGCCAGAACAGTAATTGAGGGGGGGGGGGCATATTCATATATTCGTGTTCTGCTTTATTAATTTCTTTTGAAGTCAATTATTTTTATGGTATGTGAACACAAATATATGAATATGCCCCCAAATTATCGTTCTGGCTTCGCCACTGCTTGGAATGTCTGTCAGCAGAGCAATTTGCTGCCAGGAACTTTTCTAATCTCCCTTCTCAGTTCTCCCTTCTCCCTTTTCAGTATCTAACATGAAAATAACATTGTTGACATTCATGTATAATGTTAAGAGACATTCACAATCAAGCACAAAATATATGGTCTGTGCCAGTTAACATGAATTTGTTTTGTTCATGAATAAAACAAATTTTAGAAACCCATATGATTTAGTTATACATGCATACATTGATAAAATCTAGACAGTGCTTTAAGCTTTCTTTCTTGCAAGTCAAATGAATCATGGCCTGCAATTTCTACTTTTAAACTGCCAAAATATTCCCACTTGGCTTCAAAGAAATTGTTGCATTATTTGCTAAGCTATTCCATTTGACTATTTACTCCAGTATTGGCATATGTAGTATCGTGCTAAGCTATTCCATTTGACTATTTACTCCAGTATTGGCGTATGTAGTATCGAGGATACTAGTATGTGGTAAATGAAATGAAATAATCTGTAGTATTTTGCCTGCCATTTTATTTTTGACTTAGGAATTAGTTCAAAATTATTTTCTTGTGGCCATTGGCAGCCATAATGATTTTTGTGCACATTGGTTTAATAATAAAGTACGCAACTTGGCAATATTGCGACTTCAAAATAGAAAATTGACTGATGAAATTTTTTATGTTCTGCATAATATGCATGTACATGTAGTGGGATGATGCTCAGATAGTGAGGGCATATTGCTATGCAACATATACAGTACATTTACAGCACCATGAATTAATGCTGTATACTTACATCTACCATATAATTGTATTATTGTACACATTCACGCTTTTGCAGTGATTGTATTGATCTTTTTCAGTTCAACAAGTACGCATTTGACAGATGTTAAAGACAATTCTAGATCTGCTAAATTACAACGATTGAGAGAAAAGTTACGCGCAGAACTACTAGATGTTAACAAGACTATCAGTTCACACCATAAAGATGTAAAGCAATCTAATCAAGCCCTGCATTTACTTGTGACTGCAGCAAAAACCAGCCCTGCGCTTACAACAGCTGCAATTCATGACGAGAAGAATTATTTGTTGGGGTGAGTTTTTATAATCATTGTTTCCGTTTTATTGTAGTTTTAAACTTAAATACTTTCACTGTCCACTGAAAAAGTTTTCCTGCTTTGTTATAACATATATATATATATATACAGGGTGTATAAAAAAAAGCGCAATCCTCGACTGAAATGTAAATTGCTAAACAAATAATAGACGAAAACGTTAAAGTTTACATTCATTTTAAAGCGTAGCCATTCAGCTTTCTAACAGTGGGTTGTTTCTTAAATTTGACTCATTGGTTCGCGGGTAATAATATTTTACGTTATTGCGATTGGAGATTAAAAAATTGAGATGGAATAACAAATCGTTCTCATGAAAATAACTGACTTTTCATTAAAACAAAAAAATGTTGCATTTTAATAAATGGATTGTAACAATAAGTATAATTACGGCTTTTCTTCCACTATTTTTAACACAGTTTGAAACTTCAAATGCGATATAATTTTGGCTTGGACCATCTAAGCTGACTGACATCAATTTGCTATAATTTCTGTTTACATTACATCGCAATTCGATGACACTCTGGCTCAGACACCAGAATGTTTTGACGATTTTTAGCATTCGTTTAGGATTTTCAAACAACCTGGTCTCTTTTAAAATACTTTTAATTTGTTCTTACGTGGTTTTCAGATGTAGTGACGACAACATTAAAGTTTAAAGAAGAAAATTCTAACATTTAAACCGACTAAACAATAACATAGTAAACTTGCATAATTAAACAGCAACTAAAAATGATAGGTTTTACTAAATCTTTTCCTGTGCAATTATTACTAGCATTGGAGACAAGGATAATAGTTTGTTTGAAAGAGAAAAGAACAGGCTTTGAAGTAAGTCTAAAAGCGTTTAACTAGAAATAGTATTTCAAAAGTTATTAAGCACAAAAGATGAATTGCGTTTATTTTGATACACTCTGTATATAAGGTAATTTGCAACTGGCTACTTAAAAGTTAAATCACTGATTATATATACAAATAACTAAGATAGCAAAATAACAGTGCAACGTTTACACAGTTAATTTAACAATGCAGGATTCATTCATTCCTTGTTTCGACAACAAAATAAATAAT